AAGCACTTAGACTCAACAAATCTCCATAGAGAGTGCTTTATCTAACAATAGGAGAATTACACATTCTTTCTAAGAACATGTAGAACATCCTCCATGATAGAACATAGTAGAAGACAGACTATGGAACAAGCTATAGATTTACAAGAATTGAAATCATGCCAAATACATTCTCCAACAATAATGGAAATGAATTAGAAAAAAGTGATTAAAATAACACACTCCTAAATAGCCAACAAGTCAAAAAATAAATCAGAAAAGAAACTTGAAAATACTCTTCTGATAAATGAAAACAAAACCTCAACATAAATCATATGTGATGCAGCTAGAGCAGTGCTCAGAGAGAAATTTATAGGGTATATATATTAAAAAATAAGAAGTATCTCATACCAACAAACTAATCTTCCATCTGGAGAAAATAGAAAAATAAGACTAAACTAATTGCAAAGTAAGCAGAAGGAAGGAAAGATTAAAGATGAAAACAAATAAGTGAAATAGAGAATATTAAAAAAAAGAAAAAAATCAATGAAACCAAAAGTTGAATCTTTGAAAAGATCAACAAAATTAACAATCTTCTAGCTAGACTGACTAAGAAAAAAAGAAAAGATGCAATTTACTAAAATTGGTAATAAAAAGAAGGTATATGTACTACTGATTTTATAAAAATAAAAGGGACTGGAAGATGATATTATGAACAACAGTATCCCAACAAATTAGATGATTTGGATAAAGTGTACAAATTCTTAGAAAGACACAAACTACCGAAACTAATTCAAGAAGAAAGTTTTTACAGATTTAGAATTAGATCTATGCCCAAATGGCTTCACTGGTGAATTCTACCAAAGCAAAGAATTAATATCAGTTCTTCACAATCTCTTTCACAAAATAGAAGAGGTGGGAACACATATTAACTCATTTTATCAAAGGAGGCAAAGACATCACAAGAATAGGAAGCTACTGATCAATATCCCTTATGAATGTTGACACAAAAATCTTCAACAAAATACAGCAACTATAAAATAAAATCTAGCAACATGTAAAAAGAATTATATGACATGAGCAAGTAGGCCTTATTTTATGAATACAACATTAATTTTTAAACATTTGAAAATGAATTATTATAAACCATATCAATAGAACAAAGGGAAAAAACATTATCTTCAAAGATGCAGAAAAAGCATTTAACAAACCCAATAAGCTTTCATGACTAAAAACATTCAACAAACTGGAGATAAAAGGAAACTTACTTAACCTCACAAAAGAAATCTACAAAAAATCTAGCTAACATTATACTCAATGGTGAAAGTCCAAATGCTTTCCCTAAGGGTCAGGAACAAGACAAGGATGTCTGATTTTATTCTCTTCAATGTTGTAGTGGTAGTTCTACTCAGGGAAATTAGGCAAGAGAACAAAATAAAAGATTTTCAGATAGAAGAGAAAGAAGTAAAACCATCTCTATTTGCAAATGACATAATGTTCTATGTAGATAGTAATAAAGAATTGATTAAAAAGTCTTGTAATTGGTAAATTAGAGACATCACAGTTCCAGACTTAAAACTTTATTATTAAGGTATAGTAATTGAAACAGTATGATATTGTTATAAAAATGAACACACAGATCAATGAGATAGCCCATAAATATACCCAAGCATATATGGTCAATTAATCTATGACAAAGGAGTATGAATATACAGTGGCAAAATAATGGTCTCTTCAATAAATGGTGTCAGGAAAACTGCACAGCCCTGTGCAAAAATGAAACTAGACCCATATCTTATGCCATACACAAAATGTCAACTCAAAATGGATTAGAGACTTGAACACAGACCTAAAAGAATAAAAGCCCTAGAAGAAAATATAAGAGGTAAACTCTTTAATATCAGTTTTAGTGATGATTTTTTGGATTTGACACCAAAAATAAAGGCAAAAAAAGCAAAAATGAGCAACTGAGATTAAATTAGAGTAAAAGGCTCTGCACATACAGGAAAGGAAATAATCAACAAAATTTTAAAAAACAACCTAGAAAATGCAAGAAAATATTTTTAGATCATATGTCTGATAAGGGGTTAGTATTCTAGACATATAAAGAACTCCAATGACTCGATAGAAAAAAAACACCAAACATTCTGATTAAAAAGAGTAGAATAAATGAATAGATATTTTTTCCAAAGAAAACATACAAATGGCCAAATGGTACATGAAAATGTGCTCACCATCACTAATCATCATGGAAACACAAATCAAAACTAACCACAATGAGAAATTACCTGACAACTGTTAGAATGACTATCATCAAAAATACAAAAAAATAACAAGTGTAGGCTAGGGCTAGGATGTGGAGAAAAGAGAAGCCTTGTGCACCATTGGTGGGAATGCAAATTGATGGAGCCACTATAGAAAACAGTATGAAGGATTCTTAAAAAATTACAAATAGAACTATCATGTGATCCAGAAAATACACTCCTGGCTCAATCCAAAGGAAATGAAAACAGAGTATCAAAGGTAAATCTACATTACCATCCATTGCAGCATTATTTATAATAGCCAAGATATGGAATCAGCATGTGTTGGTCAACTGATAAATAGATAAAGAAGATGGGATATGTATACATACAATTGAATATTATTCAACCATGAGCGAGAAGAAAATTCTGCCATTTGAGACAACATAATTGGACCATGTTGTTTCACATTATGCTAAGTTATTTCACACCGTGCTAAGTTAAATAACTCAGACAGAGCAAGACAAATAGTGCATGGTATCATATAATGTGAAATCTTTTTTTAAAACTCTTTTTATAAAGCCAGCATCATCCTAATCCCCCAAACAGATAAAGATATAATAAAGAAAGAAAACTACAGGTCATTATTTCTGATGTACATAGATGCTAACATTCTCAATAAAATATTGGCAAACTGCCTCCAACAATACATTAAAAAGATCACACACCATGATCAACTGGGATTCATCCAGGGATGCAAGGATGGTACAATACTTGCAAGTCAAGAAACATAATACATCACATAAACAAAAGGAAATAAAAAATCACCTGATTTTTAGATGTGGAAAAAGCATTTGATAAGGTACAGCACCCATTTATGATAAAAACACTCAGCAAAGTGGGAATAGAGAAAGAACTCCTCAACATAATAAAGGCCATACATGAGAGACCTACAGCCAACATCATACTCAATGGACAAAACTAACAGCTTTCCCATTAAGATCAGGAACAAGACAAGGATGCCCACATAGGCCACTCTTATTTAACATAGTATTAGAAGTCCTAGCCACAGCAATCAGACAAGAAAAAGAAATAAAAGTTATCCAAATTGGAAAGGAGGAAACAAAACTGTCATTGTTTGCAGATGACATAAGGTACGTAGAAAATCCTATACATTCCTCCAAAAAACCCACTCGAACTAATAAATGAATTTGACAAAACATCAGGATACAAAGTCAATATTCAAAAATCAAAGGCATTTTTATACACCAACAATGAAAATATCAGAAACAGAAACCAGGAAAAAAAATCCCATTTGATATAGCAACAAGAGAATAAAGTACATAATGTGAAATCTTCACCCCTCCAAAATGAAACTCAGAAATGTAAAACAGAAAAGTGGTTGCCAAGGGCTGTGGGGTGGGGAAAATAAAAGGAGATTGATAAGGGCACAAACTTTCAGCTATAAGGTGAAAAAAGTTTGAGGATCTAATGTAAAACATGGTGATTAGAGATGATAACACTGAACTATATAATTGAAAATTTTAAAAAAGTTAAACAAGTTTGTAAGCTATAAGATCAATATACAAAAAAACCCACAATTGTATTTCTGCATACTAGCACCTGAAAATGAAGTTTGAGAGAAAACTAACTATGTAAGGTGTTAGATATGTTATTAACTTGACTGTTAAAATCATTTTAAAAGGTATACATATATCAAATCATCACATTGAACATATAAATAGATATAACTTATTTGTCAATTATACCTCAATAAAGGTGGAAAAAATGAAACTGTTCTTTTTACAAAAGTATGAAAAATAGAATACTTAGAATTAATTTTAACAAAATACACGTAAAATTTGCACAAAGAAAACTACAAAACATTATTGAAAGAAATAAAAGACCTAAATAAATGGAAAGACACTCTAAATTTATGGATTGAAAGATTTAATAATGTTAAGATAGGAATATTCCCAAATATGATATAGAAAGTCAGTGAAATTTCTATCAAAATCCAAGATTTGTTTTCACAGATACTGACAACTTGATACTAAAATTCATACGGAAGTGAGAGGAACCTCAGAGGGTCAAATAATCTTGAAAATAAAGGAACAAAGTTAGAGGTTCAAACATTCTTGTTTCAATATGTACTTCACTGCAAAACTACAGTAATCAAACCGGTGTTGTAATGTCATAAAGACAGATAAACAGATCAATGGCATAGAGTTGAAAATGGAAATTTATGATCGATAAGTTTTTGACAAAAGATGCCAAGACAATTCAATGCAATAAATGGTGCTAGAACAACAGGATATCATGTAAAAGAATTAAGTTAGACTCTAACTCACACCATGTACAAGAATTACCTCAACATTGACCATGTTTCTCAATTTAGGAGCTAACATTTATTCTAAAACTCTTAGAAGAAAATATAAAAGTAAATATTTATGAGCTTCAGTTAAAAGTAATGATTTGTTAGACTTGACCACAAAAGAAAAAGCAACAAAATTTAAAAAATAGATAAATTGGACTTCATGAAATAAAATATTTTATACTGCTAAAACACTATTAAGAAAGTGAAAAGGCAGCCCAGGGTAAAATATTCTCAAATTATATATCTGAATAGGATCTGGTATCTGGAATATATAAAGAACTCTTACAAGTAAAAAAAAAAGAAAGACCAAAAAAACCTAATTAAAAAACAAACAAAGCATTTAAATAGACTTTTCTAAAGAAGATATACAAATGGTTATTAATTACATGAAAAGATGCTCAACAGCATTAGTCACTATAGAAATACACATCAAAATAATAGTAAATGGATGGTTATAATAAAAAAGACAGAAAATAATAAGTGTTGACAAGGATGTGGAAAGAACACTCATACAATGTTGGTGGGAATGTAAAATGGTACAGCCCCTTTTGGAAGTTTAACACTTTATTAAGAGGTTAAATATTGAGTTACCATTTAACTCTGCAATTCTGCCCCTAGGTATATATTTAAGAGAAATTAAAATATATATCCATTCAAACCCTTGAACATAAATGTTCTTGGCAACATTATTTATATAGTCGCAAAGTAGAAACTGCCCAAATGTCTATCAACAGATTAAAAGATGAACACAACGTAGTATATCCATATAATGGAATATTTTTCAGCCACAAAAAAAATAAAATAAAGATACATGTTGAAACATGAATGAACCTTGAAAATATTATGATAAGTAAACAAAGCAAGTCACAAAAGACCATGTCTTATCTGATTCCATGTATAGGAAATGTCCAGAAAGGAAATCTATAAAGACATAAAGTAGGTTAGTGGTTGCTTAGGGTGGGTTTAAAGTGGGGTGAAAAGTGACCATTAATGTTTTTTAGGAGCCATGATGAAATGTGAACTTGAATTGTGATGTACTTGACAATGAATGTACTAAAAAATAATAAATTGGTGAATTTTATGGTATGTATATTATATCTCAATAAAAATATTTAAAAAACTAAAAAAAAAAAGCCCCTATGACTGATGGAAAAGAGTGCTTATACTGGGAGACCTCCAGGGCATGGCTCTTTAGGATTGGGGGTCCACCATGACTCTCTAAGCTGGACGGTTGCTGGTTGCATCATCTCCAGTTTCAAGCACTGGAATCTGAATTTGAGAAAGAAGCTTTTGGATCTGCATTGGCCTTGCCTCAGAGAAAAGTCTTGGTGTTGTTTTCCTCAGTGCTTTCACATGTTGGGGCTTTCTCACTGTGAGGATCCCACAGTAAAAGAAAAGTGCACTTAACACTGACTTGGGTGATTTTTGATCTGAAGAGCACTTCCCCGTCTTTCTTGGTTAAGTGGTCATACCACCAATCTTGGGAGAAATTTTTAAGCTATTTCCGCTTAATAGGGGAAACTGAGACCAGAGAGATAAAGGGGTTTGGCCAAGGTCAATCAGCATGTTAGTGGAAGAATTAATGAGTTCTTTCTATTCATGTTAGTGGAAGATTTAATGAGTTCTTTCTACTTCCTGTTATTGTTTCACATCTACAAAATGTCTGATCTGCTTTCTGCTGAGAAAGGGATGTGGGACACAATGGGGTCAGTGCTTTTGTTTTGTTCTCAGCAAGAATGAGGCTCTGTACAGGGATAGGAGTGAATAAGGATGGTTGTCTTTGGCTGAGAATCAACTGGTGACACATGGTATTACATCTGCTTATGAGGAGGTGGAAATTTCTTTCTTGGTCCACTGACAGAGGTGAGGGCTTTGGTCTATTTAATGGTCTCACCTCAGCTTTTTTCTTTTTCCAGCAATAAGAGTGTTTGAAAACTGTACTTTGCTAATCTTGATAAGATCATAATTGTTTGGATCTCTAATGCTGCATCAGACTCTCCCTTAACTGATGACAGGCACAAGGAAGTTTAGATGTCTCAGTCACAGGCACAGCATATCACCTGGAGCTCCCAATTTCCCATTTACATCTAAGATGCAACAAACACAGTGCTCTTGGGTTTACAGAAATGTTTATTAAATGAGATCTGAGGGCTCTGACATTATAATTCCGGGTGTGCTTCTTGCATGTAAGCTTGTCATCCATCCAGCTCTGCTTCTGAGAATAAGGCAGGAACATTGGGGTCTGCAGAGGCTGGCTGCATCTGTGCTGTGCTCATCACATTGCTCTTCTTCACATGACAGGTGCAAGAGCCTGGGCTGCTTCTCTGCACACGTGTCCTGTCTAGGACTCTTTCCCATTAAAATTGGGCACAATTCCCATATATCCACACTCACGTTTCATACTACTCATTGTCTTCTGGCTGTGACTCTCAGATCCTGAAGTCCCTTCTCAGTGACAGTTAAAGAAATATCTCTACTACTTCCACCATGGAGGGCTTATGGAAATGTGTCTTTTTTACTTGGTTTACAAAAGAACTGTTATTGCAGGAAGAGACCTGCTAATATGAGACACTTGCTGTCTTCAGCCATGAAAATGATACTAGCTTCTAGTTGGCTATTTCCATACATTTGTGAAATAAATTGTAGGGGATGTTGAAAAGTACACAAGAATGAACACACATTTCTTACCTAGACCTTTAAGTATGTGCTCTGAGGGCTGTTTTGCAGGTCCTGGTGTCTGCTCACACACAAACTCGGGAGTGTGTGATTGGATTTCTCATTAATTCAGATTGTCTATGAAGAAGAGCATGTTTACTCTTCCTTACAACAACCCCGTGGACCAAAGGACACTTTTTAGAAATGAAAACGTATTGCAAGTCCTTTAACTAAGGAATATCTGATTCAAATTTCTTTGCTTAAGCTGGGTTAACTCTCACTTCCATGACGTGGTTGCAGAAAGCTAACCTGCTCGATCACTTTCCTCCTACCCTCCCTCTTTCCCTCTTATTTCCTCCCATTTTAAACAAACATATATTTATCATCTATTCTACTACCAAGCACCTAAGAATGGCAGAGCCACTTCTCTTTGCTGGTTGAATCTTCAGGGCACCACCTCTGTGGTCCTTGCGTAGAGCAGGCATTGCATCTTGTGCTGTAGCATTCATGGCTAAAATCTGTCATTGGCTTTCAGGAGCTTTTAGTTTACATCATCTACTTGGAATCTTGGAAAAGTTCATGTGGTGGGGATGAAGAGAGGCCTCAGTGGTGCTTTCAGAACAAGCACCCCTTATCTGGCCTGGCTCTCCCTGCACTGAGCAAAGTGGCACTTTTCCCTTCAGTGGCTCTGTGACTCCTGCTGCCCAGCGCTAGCCCCAGAGAACAAAGAGCATGCAGCCCACTTCTGGGCACTGCTCCCTTGTCCTGAGAGCCTGCAGCCTGGTCGTTTCTCCCTATCTGAGCAATCTCATTTGGAGGTTGGGACCCATGGCCACCTTCTATACTTTCCGTGTACACGCATAACTTGTCAGTGAATCCTTGGGCCTTCAAAGCTGGGATGCTGCTTCAGAAATGCAATGGACAGAAGTCCTTGCTGAGTGTTGAGACCTGTGTTAGGAGCAGCAGAAGTCTGGTAGCTTCTCTTGGGGCTGAGGCAGCCTTGTGTGAAGTGGGAGTGATGATATTTTTGGAGAAAGCAAAAGGATTTCCTCACTCTATGTCCAGGAAGAAGAACTTGTTCTGGTTTGAAGCAGTTTGGGCTTCATTTGTACCTCCCTTAAGGCCACTTCAGGACCCATCATGCCACTCAATGGCCCTAGAGGTCCACTGGAGTATGTTTGGTCACCCCTTGAAGAGCTGACCTACAAAGACCCTGGGCTCCCTGGAGGACCCACAAATATCAGAAAACTCCAGGTAGAGCCATTAATCTATGCCGACCCCTTGCCAAACATCTCTAAGGCTTGAGTAAGCAGCTCAGAAGAGGATGATATCTGTTAGAGAAGACAGGAAGAGTGGAGCCTGGGGTGCAGGGATGATGGGGGTAGTGTCAGAGGTGGTTTCCTCTGGCTCACTGTCCTCATTGTCTGGGCCTTCAATGAGGCCTGGGATGATCCTGACCACATGATCTTCAAAGTGCACCTGTTTCTTCTTGGCTAGTGAGTCAGCATGCTCCAAAGTCAACTCTGTCAGAGCATCTGGATGCTGGAGGGTGCTGGGCTTCCTGGTCCCCTTTAGGATGCACTTCATGTGCATAAAGAAGGAGTTGGACCCCTCCTTGAGGGCTCCATGGAAGGTGTATGTTTTTTCAATGTCCCCAGATATGATGGTGCTCATGGCACTACTGCAGAGGTCTGTGTACTGCTCCTGGGGGGCTGGCACCTCAGGGGAAGCTTTGTTCTTCTTCCGTTTGCTGAGAAGGAAGTAGGTCAAGCCAGTGATGATAAGCATGGAGCCTGGAAGAGATCTGGGAGGTCAGGATGCTAGATGTGTCCTAGAGAAAAGCCAGAGGCTATTCGAGCTCACCATTTCAAAAGGTCATGACAGCACACTTGTGTGGCCACACTCAGGCTGCCTGTGCTCCAGCCCTCTCACCTAACTTGGACTCACACACCCACATCAGATTCAAGGGGCAGGCCTAGTGCCTGGCTGGGGCATGTCAGCAGGGCCAGTGCCATTCTAGGGCCTTCCTCCTGACTGTTAGATCAGGTACCCTGTTCCTGAAGCTCCCTTTCTACTAACAGCTGACCCTGGTGTTGCCCAAATAGACTTCCATCATCACACTCAGCTTCCCTCTTAGTACAGCTCATTGGACTGGGCCTGTGACACCTTCAATGTGTCTGGATTCTATGTTGGATACCAGGGCCCATCTGCTGAACTGGACTTCCTTCCCATTCCAGAAGTGGGAGATTGCCTTCATGTTTTAGCTTCCCCAATAACCACAAAGAAAAGTACAGATACTTTTGGGTGGGGCTGGTGTAGCTCTGGTCCCCTTTCCTGGCTCTTCACACAGCCTCCAGACCCCTTCATTCCAAGCTGAGACTTGAAGCTCTGGGTTCTTTGCTGGGAATCCAGCCCTGTCCTGAAGAAGAGGGGAAGGTGGCTGTCCTGCCTGCCAGGGCCAGAGCCTCTTGGGCCTCTCTCCCTTTCCAAGAAGCAGGAGGTAGTGACTTGCTCTAGCCTCTGCAGTGATGAATCCTGCTCAGAAGTCCACTGAAGAGCCTGGCAGAGTGGCCTTCAGAAACCATAACAGGTACTTTATGAGAAACTGCAGGAAGGAAAAGGAGACTCTGGCTTTCAATCTTATCTCCTTGGGCAGTTTGCTTCCTGGCATTTTAGATGGGTCATGAGACGGGGCACAGTTTCATAGCTAGAAAGAAGGCAGAGGAGGCTATTAGCAGAAAAGGTTAGGACAAAATCCAGGAGGTGGAAGTATGAGTCCTGGCTTCTGAGATCAGGAACTAGGCTGACCAGCCAGGTTTGTGAGATGAAGTAGGGGAAGATGTTGAGGCTTTGAGGGTCTTTATAGGTTCTTTCATGTTATGCTTTCCCAACCAGGCTGAAGAGTTTGCATCTGAATCAGGCACTGAGAAGACACAGGTGGCTTTGGGCAGAGCAATGGCCATCTCTTACCCTCCTAAAGCTCAATCTCTACACAGGCTTTGAGAGGAAGGCCTGGTCCCTTTTAGAGGTGCAGTTTCTGGACACCTACATGAAAGATTAAGGGACATTTCTGATATTTAATCAGCATGGAGAAGTCTGATAGGTCCTCATCCTCATGACTTAAGCCAGAGCAGGCAATGGGGTAAGTGGGGACCCTGGAGTCAATGTCACTGCTGACTGAGGTGAGAAGGATTCAACCCTTTCTGCTCATTGCCTACTTGTGGTGGGGGCTGCCTGCCTCCACTACCTCCTGTAACTCCTACCTGGAATGGTCACATGCCAGACCAGGACAGGGTGGAGGAAGCAGGCCACAGACAGCAGCATATAGGCCAGGAACTTCTGGAAGCAGCCCAGCCACTGGGCCTTTTCTCTTGCTTTGTAGGCCAGAGACCCTGGCTGACACCTGGGAGGAAAAAGTTCAGGGTTAGTGGCAAGCAGAAAATGACTCAGGAAAGCCTCAGCATTCTGTGAGGATATAGGAGGCTGGGGTGATGTTTTACTGTGACCATGTTCTCTACAGTGGCCTCTGGCTGAACCTCCCTAGGGTGGGAGTTCTCAGTAGTTACATAATTAGGGTTCTTGCCTATGCCCCTCCAAAGGGACTGCAAAGGCAGTGCAAAGAGACTCAGGAGTCTCAGGGGTCCCCTGGGAAGTCCACAGTACAGTGGAGAAGGTAGTCAGTATGGGAAACACCTGGCTGGAATGGTTGTGCAGATCGTGCCCTGCACAAAGGATTTGGCTATGTGGGTGAGCAGGCTGGAATCCAGCTGCGCCCTGTTCCCAGAGACTTGCCTAGGCATGTAATGACGTTGGCCTGGAGGGGCTTTTAAATTGCTTAGGCATGAAATGATGTTGGCCTGGAGGAGCATGCAGAATCCATACATAGGCCTGACAGAGGCCTGGTACCAAGCAGGTTTCTTCAGGGTTGCTCTCTCCAGGTTTCAAAGGAAGGGAGCACTTGCCTTTAGGTCCATCTTTGCCATTCTCCAAATTGGCCTGGAGCAGGGTACAGTTTCATCCTGCCCAGGCTAGCTTTGGGCAGTGATGGGGGCTGGCCCTCCTTCTACACCCCACTGCTTGCCATGCTTCTTTAATTCCCCCTGGTGGTCAATTCCTTTGTGACCAGACCCTAGCTGAGTGAGGAGGGTTCCAGAGATGATAAAAGGCCCCTTTAGGCCTAGGGTTGTTCCCTCCCTGGCCCCCAAGAAAAGGCATGAATCCCTTGGCAGTGGAGGCTACTTACTGAAAGCAGATGGTCAACATCTGAGCCACAAAATAGGCCCCTTCACACACGGAGACGGTGACTCCTGTAAACCTATGATGGAGACAGGTGAAGGAGGCTGGGCATTCTTTGATTCTCCCTTCACTTTCCTGTGGGCCATCTCCTCACAGCACATTGGCCTTCTGGGTAGCTACAGCTAACCAACTGACCAGGAGGTTCTTGACTTAACCCCATCACCCAACCAGCTTCTACCAGGAGCCATCTTGATGCCAGGACCTGTGCTGGGTTGGGCTGTGGTGGTAAAGGAGCTGGGGTCTGGGGCTCAGAGATAGGTGAGGAGGATGCTGCAGGCTGATATGAGAGAACCGCCTTGATCATAGCTCCCCTGTGTAGACTGTGGCAGATTTTCTTCTACCAATGGTTACTAGGACAAACAGTCATTGCCCGACTTGAGAGTCTTAAAGCTGAATTCATTTTCTTTTCCCTCTTTTCTCATCCTTCAAAAAGTCACTAGGACAGGCTGACTGTGTTCTTTAAATAGCCTTAGAATTAGTCCCATTATCTCTGGCCTCACCTGTATCACCTGAGTTTGGACATTGCCCCTGGGACACATGTACCTTCCCCCTTTTGGCCTCACTGACTCCCTAGCCCTCACCTTCTGCACCCTGCTCCTCCACTTCATCACCAGAAGCTGCCCAAAGGCTTGCTCTGACACCCAAGTCTGATCATATTCTTCCCAATTTAGAATTCTTCAAAGCATCCTCATATTCCATGTGTGGTCCAGAGACCTTCTGATAAGACTACCTGGGGAATATGTAAAATGATGGATTCCTGGGCCAGTCCTAATACTTTCTATTTTTTTATTAACTGGAGAATCTCACCGATCTACAGAATTTAAATTCCTTGTCCTGTGCTTCTTAAAAGCCTGTGCCTTTTAAAAGCCTACATGAGCTTCCATATTCCTCTGACTACACAGGAAACTGCCAGGTGCCACAGGGCCTTTGCACAGGCATGCTTTTCTTGGAAGAACTTCTCCCTTCTCTCCTTGTCTGTCTGGTGGTCTCAAATTCTTCCATGTGGCCTTAGCCTACTCTTGGAAAGATTTATTTTTAAGTGTTCTGTGGATTTGCATTGAAGTAAATGAATGAGTGAGAGGAGATGTTGCCTTGCAGGGGAAGGGTTTCCTCAGGGACCTCAGGGTCTTCCTCAGGGTTTTCTCAGGGTCTTCCTCAGGGTATTGTCCCTGATCAACTGTGTGACCATAGGCAAGGGGCTTGACCTCTTTCTGCCTCAGTTTTCTGAGAGTAATCATTGTGTTTCAACAATAAAATTGTTACAAGGACTAGATGTGTTGATATTTTTAAAGTCCTTCAAATGTGCTTGGCACATAATTCTCATCACATATAGATATTAGTGTAGGCAAAAGTAGGTTTGTAGTTGTTCATGTGGAAAAGTACATGTTAGTAAATAACAATATAAGAATAAACTCTGTGTTTTGCATACTCACAACTGTAAATCTACTTTTGCCCACCTCTGTATGTATTAGTTACTATCATTGCTTTCTGTCTCTCACTGTGACTATTCAGTACCTTACCTCTACTTTCTCCCACTCTCTCTATGCCTCCCAGTGTCTTCCTAACTCTTATTGTTCAGATTTTAAGTGTTAATACCTTTGGACATTGGGTAAGTATGAGGAAGGTAGTGAGAGGTCTCATAGGAAAGAGGAAGAAGGGAGAGGAAGCAAGTGTAAAGGAGAAGTGGAGAAGAACAACGGGAAAGCCAATGACAGATGAGTTCCTTCTGGTGCCTACTCTTGATCATGGTCCGTGCTTGGTCCTGGGAACACAGAGAAGGCAGTGACATTCACATAGGGCATGTGTTACAATAGATGAAGGCTCTAAGTTTGAGGGAACACAATGCCAAGAGTCTAAGATCTGCATAGGGGAGAGTGCATGCTGTGGGTGAGAATGGGAGAAAGGAGTGAAGATAGGGAAGCAGGACATTAAGATATCTGGATGGCCCTTGAGGAATGAATGGACATGAGTGTAGGAAGGATGGGCAAGGTGGACCATGGGTACTAATTCCTTGGGGTTGGAGAACAGGGAATAGTCAGAAATAACTTATTCTAGGACTGGACCATGAAATGACCAGGTGGGCACAGTGTCCTCTTAAGACAGACAGAGGCAATCAGGAAGAGGCAGGGTGCTGGGCAGAAAGCATGCAGCATTAACTTGTCACAACCTGACCTGGTATAGTCAGATAATAACCCTCCAGCTCTTACCCTAATAATGTTTGTGGGTCTACGAGGAAACCATAGGAAGAAGAGGAAGTCCAGGACCTGCTTCTGGATTCTAGGGAGACAGTGCATAGTGGCTGGGACAGGCTCAGCAAGACATGAAGAACCTTTAGAGCAAGAAGTCACTTCCAGCCAGTAGGAGTCCTAGGCACAGGCTGGGGTCCCAGGGCAGAATGCCAGGAAGGAATGCTTTGGGAATACCGAAGTGGGTCAAAAAGCACCCCAGGTGTCTGACAGGATGAGCAAAGGCTTAAAGGAAGGTGATATGTGTTTGGGAAAGAGTCAGAACCTCCTGGGGTATAAACTGAGTGACAAGGAATAAGGTGGAGGTTAGAAGATTACAAAAAAGTGTGGCTTGGAGGCTGTGGCAGCCATTGCAAGTTTGTCAGAGGGCCCTGTGTTTCTAATTGGCTGATTTTATGGCATTGTGGAAATGCACTGGGAGGTTGGAACATGGTTGGAAGATGGTGGATGTGATCCACTCTGCACACCAAAGAGCTTGTCTGAGCAGGGTGTGTGGGCTCCTTAGCATGCAGCCAAGGCCACTGTGATGAAGGTAGGTGTGAAGGGGGAGGGGGAGAGGAGGAGAGGATGCATCTTGCTGACTCCAAAGGCATACTGGGCTCCCTGTGTCCTTCAGGATTGGGCTGCTGAGAAGCTGGGTAGTCAGAGCCTGCAGGGATGCCAGGCTTTCCTCCCACCCTGGGACATCACTGTGCCATGATCTCCTCCCTGCCAGGGGGTGTTTGCAGAGACAGCTGGCAGAAATGAAAGAATAGAGTTTGGGGAAATAAAATGACTGGGGCCCCAGGAGTCTGTGCCCTGCTGCTGCTCATGAACTTGGCGATGTGGGTTGAGCAGCTTACTCCCACTGAATTTTCTAATTTGCAAAACTGGGACACTATTCACTTTTACAGTGCTATCATTAAAGGACATGACGTAAATAAAAAAAAACATTTAATTGTGCTTGGCATGAAGATGGGATGAAGTTTATAGTCCTTTTAGATGCTCCTTTCTCTAAAGGAAGAACTCAGTTAATGTTTTCTAGCTAAGAAATTATAGAAGAGATGAATGGGTGGACAGATGGATAGGTTGATAGATGGATGGATATATGGGGGGTGATGGAAAGACAGTTGGTTGATTTATGGGATGGTCTGACTAAAGCCCTTTCCAAAAGCAAAGGATATATTAAGGGCTGCACTAGTCCTTCCACCTTTGGGATAGGATGGACTTATCGAGGGAAAGGGTGGGGTGCTCTGGGTTAATCTGAAAAGATAGACTCAGAGTGAGGTGGGGCAGAATATGCAGGCAAAGAAGGGCTTGTGTCCACATACTCACAGCAGGTAGAAAGCCAAGCTTTTGAAGTGCCCCCGGAGGAAGGTCTCAGTGCCCACGCCGATCAACACTAAGGGGAAGAGGAGAGGGGAGAGTGGCCCAGGTGCTCCAGCCACAGCACTGACCTGAGGAGGGCTCCTTGGCCATAGAGTCAGCCTTTTCCCTGGGGACTATTTCCTGTGAGGCACAGAGATTGGTGGCTGGGAAGATACAAGAGAGCAGGGAGCCTTCTGAATTGGTTTCTGGAAACAAGAGTGGTTTCAGGCAGAACCCCACAGGTCTTTTAGTCCAGAGCACAAATGCCATCTTTCTCTGCCTACACTGGTCATGCCACCATCCCTGAGCACCCCCAGAGACAGCCCATGATGACAGGACACCACATGCTTTGCCCTATAGCTATCTTCTGTGTGTCCTGGGTTAAAGGGACCTCACTGTCCTGCAGGCCCATGCCCATGTGTGCTGTGTGTCTGGGCTTCAGTGTTTGGACATGAGTGAGAACTGCTTGTTCTTGCTGTTTTCATGACCTTTTTTTTCATTTGCTGGTTTGGCACCTACATCTCACATTCATGGCTCATTGCTTTGGACTCAGTGCTTATGAAGCCCCTGGGGTTTTGCTCTGGCATGGGAAGTGCTCAGCCTTATCTCCCTCTTGTCTTTTCTTGACAGTTGGTGTTCAAATGCTTGTGCTCAAACCTTTAATCTTCCATTTTCCAAGGGGAATTTTGTCTTGGACACACCTTTGCAGACTTGCTGGCTCCCTGTCATTTGCTCACAGGACTCTCTTGCTCTAACAGTTTCAGTCAACCAGCCATAGCTCTGACCCCATGTACTCACTGATAGAAACATTTCCCAGACAGCACTCAGATATTCACAGACCTTCTTCCAGGATGATGTTGGCCCACAAATCAGACCTATTTCTGGACATACGTGATCATACTCAGTGCATCTATATTTCTCTCTCTAGGCTCGGATGACGTAACCTACTATTTGCCACCTTGTCCTATCCTACCCTGAAAATTCAAAGATGGTGGGTTGGGTTGTTAGATTTGTTTGTGAGCAGTCATTCTCTTCTGCTGCCCATGGGCATCCCTAGGCCTGATGCTTTCTTTCTTCCCTGGCAGAGAAGCTGTGTAAGCTTCTAGCCCTGGGTGGCCTGAGCTCTTTGCCCACTGTAGAAGTGCTGCCTCCTGAAATGAAGTGTAGAACCCCCCCACTTACACCACCAGCATCTCCATCTTTACATCTGGGGGATTGTGGAAGTGCTACAGGAAGAAGGGGACAGAGTGCTTTAATCAAGAAAAGGAAGGACAGCACCCACAGGTGAAGGCTCCCCTGTGTTTGAGAGCAGCGGAGGACGCTGTGTCTCTGTCCTTAGCAGGTCCTGGCTGCTCACTGACTCTTCCCCAGTGAGGAGCAGGGAATGCTAGTCAGCCACACACCCCTCTGCAGTGCCAATGCAACCTGCAGGGCACTTAATGGTTTACACATAATGGTCACATGTATATTGGCTCCTCATAGTAGCCCTGTGATGCAGAGAATTCCATACTCCCATTTCACAGGGAGGGAAATGAGGCTGTGTTCTCACAAGGACACACACAAGCCAGAATATAAAGGACCTACAGATCAAACTTGAGATTTCTGGCTGCAGGTGGTGGGCAGTCTTCTGGTTTTTACTGTCTACCAGTGTATGTTTATGGTGTGTAATGTCTGCATTGTTTTGTGTGTGGCATGTATGTGTTGCATGTGGTATGCATATGTGGTGGTATTGTGTGCACACGTGTGGTGGTTAGCATGTTGTGATACGTATGTGTGTTGGATGTGTGGTGCATGTGGTATATGTATGTGATGGTGTATGAGTTATGTGTGGTGTGTGTTATATGTTGTATGTAGCATGTGTGCGTTGCAGGCAAATATTCATTTATTTATTTTTCACTATGTGTCCTGTTCTCATCAGTTAACATTTATTAACTTCTTTAATTATCACAACATTCCTCTGAGAAAGTGCTATGTTATCCTCATTTTACAAAAGAGGAAGCTGAGGTACAAAAAGTGTAAACGAAGTAAATAAGCCAACCAACCATGAATGCCTAGGTTAGATCCTACATTTTAATTTCTCCTTTGTTAGTTAGTAGCTGAGTCACTCAATCTTTCTGAGCCTCAGTTACCCCATTATCTTTCTTGAATATAATGGTTATGAAGATTAAGTAAACTGATTATGCTAAGTACATCACAGTTGCTCAGTAAAATAGCTTGTTAATTTTTGTCTCAGGCTTCATTCACATCAGAGTCTTTGTAGATTTACATGGGCTTGTGGCAAATGTCCAGCAGGTGGCAGAGAACAATTTTGGAAACAGCCTGGTTCTCTAACTGGCACCCATTTGGCCTGTGGAGAGCTATTTTGATACCTGTTGACTGAAACAAAGGGTCAGTATGCAAAGTTGAGACAAGATGGACCAACATAAAGTCCTTCCATATGTCCCCTACTTCTGTCTGTCTGCCTGTGGCTCCAGCCCATGACCCTTCTTCTGCTCTGGAGTGAGTTGGTTGCACTCCTGGGTGTCTCCTGGCAGCTCTTCTTAGATGGTATCTTCTATATCATCTTCTGTGTTTTCTGTTTGAATGATGTGGGGTTAAGCCCAATGGTGGGCTAGAGTCAGGCATTGGGCTTCTCTCTGGGGCACGCTTGGTCCAAGGGGAAAGACATGACAGATACAAACTGAAAAAAGTACCATGACTCAGACAGTAAGAGAGGCTCACTGAAGTGCTCTGAGAGCCAGAGAGACAAGGGCCATTCCCGAAGACTTTAAACCAACGTGGACTGTGAAGGCAGCAGGAAATGGACATGTATAAATGAAGGGACAGGGCACTGCAGGAAGACCTCTCCTTGCAAGCATAACAGCAAATTATTTCTTGTGGAGCAGGGGCACAAGGAGTGGAGCATTGGGCAGTACATGTGGACTGAGCCAGACTGTGAATCTTTTAAGAACAAGACACCACACATCAGGCATGGGAGACCTTGGGTGTTTTGGAGCAGCTGAGTGATGTGGTCAGATTGGCATTTCAGAAAGCTCCCTGACCTTAGATAGAGGGGTAAAAGGCTTTGGTGATATTTGGCTAAGACTGCTGGCAGATGTGACATGGTGGTCAAGGAAGAGGACCCTGCTCTAGATGTTTCTGACTCTCTCCCAGCACACTGGTAGTCTCCATTTTCTTTGTTGGTCTGATGTAAAGCAAATTTCTGGCTTCAGCTCTTAATGGTGTGCCCAGGGAATCTGCAGGCAGGGCACTTGGGAGAGGGCAGGGTTGCTCTGTCTGGGGGCTCAGACAAGGAAAATTTTCAGGCAGAGAGGTGAAGGGCATTCCCTGCTGTTGCATGATGGTCTTTTGCCTTTTTGGGGGTCGTGGAAGCAGAGATGTGAGATGGTCACAAGTAACCACAAGATATTTAGGTTTGGAAGCTCCCTGGGTAGGTCACCCCAGCTGCCTCGCAGGGAGATCCCAACACATGCTGTACACTGCAGTAGGCCCCCTACACACATCTTCTTTACTCTCACAACATTCCTCAAGGTGGGAATTGTCAACTCCATGTTATTTATAAAAAAAACAAAAAACCCAAACCAACATTCTGGAAGTGAGCAAGTTGGTCCAGGCCACTGGTAGTAAAGGACAAAGGGAAGCTGAGGTCAAGATCAATCCTCAGTGGTTTCAAGGTTCCTGCTGGCAGAGGTTGGGGAAGGACCGTGGAGAGAATGGTGCAGGTGGGAGAGGATATTTCCTGGGGCCTTTGATAAGAATGGGGTGTGTCAAATGGATGAAGCCTGTGTTACATGGGCAGTGGACTACTGCATCCCCCAAGTCCATCAGAAAGTTGCAGAAAATTGCCTTATCCCTATCTTAGTGACCCTTTTGGCACTTAATACATTCACCGCTTACCCTTGGAATCTGGCAAAGAGCCCACAGCATGGGAAGGGCTCTCTTCTGAGTGTCACAAGTGGCTGCAGCCTAAATCTCACCCCCCAGGGCAGATCCACCAAGCCACCCAAGGGTTGCTCTGGTTGTTCGAGGTCCAAAGTCCCCAGTGGTGAGTCTATACCCTCATTTGCAGCATATCCTTTGTGCCAGTCCAGGTGAAGTACAGGGGTGCAAAGGAAATATGTGTCAGAGCCTGAGCAGTCAGTTGAACAGACCCATGAAATAGAGATGTCGAAGGTGGGAACAAGCTATAGCATAGAGAATGGGAAGAACACAGGTTGCATTTCCTTGGAAACTGAGGAGATCTCTGTAGAGGAGAAAGGCAAGGTGATACCAGGAGGATGGAGCAGCATGAGTTAAGAGTTTGGAAGTGTGACAGCCATGACTCCATGTACAGATGAAGGGTATGGCCTTGTCTCTGGGTGCCTCTCTGTGTAACTTCTAGGGCTGAGCAAGTTCACATGGCCACACTGAAGCAGTGACAGTGTGGCTTCCTGGTCCCATACCCTTATGTCCTCTTTTACCTGACAACTCCCTCCCACCCCTCCAAGGGAGCCAGGTCCAATGAGACAGCTGTGCCCTGTGGTTCTGGGAAAACCTCTTTATCAGCAGTCTGGGTATAGCCGAGTGCCTGGGGACCACTGCTTCAGCAAGGACTTATGCTAGTCCTGACACTTATCTCCCAGAAGTTCTCCCTGGACTCTCAAGGTTGTGCCAATTACCATTTCTAAGATAAGTGAGCCAGGAATGGTTTCTTTGTGAAAACATTCCTGCTGACCCCCAGGCAGTAACTCTGACACCGACCTGCTGGATCTGTGACAGCAAAGGGGAGTTGACCACACATACTTCAGAGTGTTAGTTGAGAGGTAAATCTAATTATAACAATGCAATTTGAGGCTTCTTTGTTAACAGCGATATGTGTTAGATTGAAGCTGAGCACAGATTATTTTCAACTCTTCCTACTGAGAGGTATAACATAATTCTCCTTCCCTTGAATGTGGTCTGGCCTAGTGACTCACTTGTCTGATTGAATGATGGAGAGGTAAATTTTGGGGACTTGCATGGCTAATTTGCAAACAGCTTCTTTTACTGACACTT